ATTAGTATTTTCCTACCAGGGATGTCAAAGGCCATTTTATAAAAATAAGTACTTTGGATACATACATAACAGAGGCACGATCGTGTTCAGAAATGTTATATTCAAATAGCAAGAGCTGGAAAAATAACTTGGGTCCTACTTACATGGAACATTTTTGAAGTCTACAGTTCTAAGCTCTGTACAGCTGATGCAAAACCCAGCAAATAAAAGCCACTATCACCCAATCCCCACTACAAAGGCTGCCAGCCCAGAACAGAACCAGAATCCAAGATACTCCTCTTTCCTTTACTTCTGAAAAACTAAAATCCCATTGACAATGCTGTACCAAATCCAAGCCTGCTGCCCCATTTTTTAGCTCTAATCCCTATTTATTCTTTCACCCTTTTTCCAAAATGGAAGATAAAATTAACTGTAATTGATTGTTCACAGACGTGATTTTCAGAGATTTAGATGCCATTATATTATCCTTTCAATACAACAAAAAATAAAAAAGAATAGCACCATGCTTTTAACATTTATTACAAAATCACTCCCATTCAGATGGTTATTTTCCACAACTGCATCTACCTTTGTTCTGTGCTCCTTGCTGAATACAAATACCCTCGTTTGCTTTGCTGACTTAGAGCCTCACAGCAATGAAGCTGAACTTACCTAAAACCACCAATGCAGCGGTTACCCATCTTCTCTTACAGAGGTTTTCCTTGAAATTTTAATTGAAAAGTAGCAAATTTAAGCAAATCAACAACACGCCAGCTTTTCTCAGCTACCTTCTGCCGACAGCTTCAAAGCAGCCCACAAATCCAGTCCACAAGAAGCACATTGCACACACAGCAAACATCGCTGCAGCTGCAAGCCGCTCGCTTTCAACCTAAACCTGAGAAAACCCAGTTTCCTTCAAATATCCTGAGTGATACCGAGGATGCCCAAGCATGTTTGACAGGCTTGAGCTAAGTGAAAGCACGCAAAAGGTATCTCCCACATCATCTAGAAGTTTTGTTTTCCATTTCTGAAGCCCTCAGCACAAACATCATACGAAACGCTTTGTGAAGCACAGCGCTGGCAGCTCGTTCATAACGCCCGGCTCCTCTCCCGTGCTGAGCACAGAGCTGAGCACAGGAGGACTCCGTGGAAGGGCAGGGAGGCTGCACCTGGCTCAGCAGGACTGTCAGGACAGGAGCTCAGAGCCTGTGCACCTACCACCACCAAAGCACCAATGCATGCTAGCAGACATGCTTAACAAGGACAGCACACTGCAACCTCCTCTGATGCTAAAATAAAATATTACTCGCTCTGTGAGGGGCCCTCCCGTCCTTTGGATTTGCTCCATCGTGGTACACGCCACACGCAGGGGCGGGACAGTATTTGCCAAGTATTAAAGCTAAGATGCTGCAATGTTATTTTTCTTTTTTCACCAGAAGGTGACTGTCCCTCCCCACTGCCCAGAAGGTGGGCAGGCTCCCGCGCACCAGCAGCAGTCAGCCCGTGGTGTCCAGCTGGCTGTTAAGTGCTTGCTGGGACAGCTCCTCTGCTTCAGTCCTGGGAAATCACAGTGTCTGCCTCCTGGTAGGCATCCTCTTGTTTCTCTTCTGTGCCCGTGCCTCCAGCAAACAAGGACGTGCCAGGCACTGCTACTGAAGTGGCAGTATATTTGTTTCGCACGCCTCCAAACCACACCCCTGCAGGTAATGCTAAATTGCTGCCAAGACCTATTTGTAACCTGGGTAAGTGACCCTAGACTGCTGCACTTAACATCATGGAAATAAATTCTCAGGTAAAAAAAAGCTTTCAAAATTCTCCAAACCAAACGATGGTGTAAGGTCACGCTGAAGACCTTTCTCTGGATGTTTAAATTTAGAGTTTCTTCTTCCCATCACACAAGCAACCCCGCTAGAAACCCTGAGGCTTTGCAACACACAGCCACAAAGTTCAGTGGCTATTTTAATGTACAGCAGTCAGAATCTCGGACTAATTACATTAAAATGCATTGGGGCAATTCTCCCAGCTGAAAGGCACTTTACAGCATATGAAATGAGCATTTTATGGAGCAGAGATTTGGATCACCTTCCACGGGAGCACATCTAGCAAACAGCTTCCCCACACACCCAGCCCCGTGTCTTCCCAGCAAGGCAGAGGTGGAATTTCTGAGTCCTCTTCATGAATAAGCAATGAAAGCCTTGAGACAGGACAGTGTAGCAGCTTCCAAAAAGGTGCATCGACTCCGCTGGGGACAGGAGGTGGTTCAGCCTGGGCGCATCAGTTTGCGCATTATCCACTGCCTCCTCTGCAGGGAGAGCTGGCTCCTGGCATGAACAGCTCTCCCCATCTTACCTCAAGAAAGACCTGTCAGGAAAGAAAGAGCCTAGAGAGTTTTTCCTTTGGCCTTTGAAGTTCTTCCTTGGCTGACTGATGCTCGCCCATACATAACTGGAAGAAAAGACTGCCATTGTGCTGCTCTTTACACCAAGTGCATTATTCTCCAGACAAAAGCTTGCGAGTCCAACTTTTAAACACACCTCTCTTTAGGCTATACTGTTTCTAAACCATAAAATCTTTTTGTTCATTAAAAAATAGACAGCCTTTTCCCCCCTCAGGCAATCTACTCTGCTAGTTAGCTTTTTGCACTACTCTTTGCAAACGGATACCGCAGACACACAGCAGCTCGCAGCAGAACAGCCAGTTCCCATCCTCAGAAATACTGCATTTTTCCCCAGTATAGTCTCCAGTCACTTACCCAGCCCAGCTTTAAACATGAAATACAACCACTGTAGGAGCTCGCTGGCTTTGGACGAGACCTGGCAAGCAATCAGTCTCACCGAAAACATCTCCAGCATCTGGCAGCTCACTGCTGTTCGCAGGGTCTGTGCACTGGGTCAGGGCTGGGGGTTAAGCGAGGAACATGCTCAGCACCTGCCTGCTTTGCCTGGCTCTAATCAGTATTCCCCTCCCATGCCCAGGAATGCCAGAATTCCCCAGTTTCCTCAAAAAAATAACACACACACCCTCAAGGAAGACAGAGGGGGAAAAAAAATAAAGAAAACTCAAATAGTTTAACAAAATTTGGATCTTACCCTAAGGATAATGCATGTCTTGCTATTGACTTCAGTATCTCTTTGGATGTTTATGTGAAATCTCATATTGACACTATTAAATAGAAGAATTCTGTGGTGTTAGAAAACAAACCCCACAACTTTATTGTTAAAAAAAATAAATAAAAATTGACTGCAGCAATGCCACTTTGCTTGAAACTCTAGCAACTAGTAACAACTGTTTTTGTATTAGTAGTTCCCAAAGTCAGGTCTCGCCTTAGTGTGAAAGTTGTACTGCAGTTGCACATCTGAAAACTTTTCTTTTTTAAGACCCGTTGACAAGTTCAAGCCAGTCTATCAACTGGAACCAGCTCCTCAGTTTTTGGTTCTGAGCTCCCTATCTTAGTCACTAGGCTATTGCTCTCTGTCAGGAAGAATTGTTATAAAAAATAGTACAGATTTCATTAAAAAAGAAAAAAGAGAGATGAAAATCAAACAAAAACAGTCTATGTTTAATCAGTCTGTGTAACACAAAAAGCCACTACTGAGAAGTATATTTCTTCTCCAGGAAGATTTTGAAAGTTTATAGTTTTAAACCATAAACAATAAACTACAAACAATAAATACAAACAATATACATGTTTTAAACATACTTTTGTTGATTTTGTCTCCTTTTCTGCACAATCTATATTTCTATATTAAAAAAGGCATTAGTAAAACATCCATTTAAAAAAAATAAAATGTTTTAAGCAGCCATCTAGCAGTTACATGCTTCTAGCGACTGCAATAGCAACACCCAGTTCTAGCAAAGAAAACAGCCCGAGATTGCTGTGCCAGTCATAACCACATAAATTTAAAGCATTGAATATTTGCTCGGACCAAAGGCTATTTGCATATATTATTCAATAGATTTTCCACACCACATTAAAAAAATTTGCAGGCTATTCATACACAGCCCAGCAAAAAGTACGTACCACCAGTGGGTGTACGTGTAAACCCGGCGTGGCTCAGGGCAGACTGAGGCAGCACCTCTCAATTCGTTAACCTAACCCCAGACCGTAGCACTTATGGACCTGCTTTTGCTGTAAATAACAGTAATGAAAACACTAAAAGTAAGGAGCTGAGTCTCGGTCCATTTCATTAACGAGCACTCACCTGCTGCTGTGACCCAGGAGCCGCGGCATGGCTCTGTCCTGGTACTGGGTGCCCCCCAGCATGGGCTGTGGGTGCTCACTGCTCCTGCTGCGGGCAGCCCAACATCCCCTAGCCCTGCCACCCCCAGCCAGCAGCTTCCCAGGACAGGTTACAATCCTTTCTAGCCACAATACATTTCTTTTAAAACATCATTTCATCTGGGCATGCAGATCTGACAGATGAGCTACGGCAGCTGGTGCTATACAACATTTTTGATTTCTGCATCCCAGACATTTGGAAACACCATTCAGTGCAAAAACCCACCATTGTTCCCATTTCACAGGGAGGAATGCACGAAGAGGTAAGGATGCCTGAACTGGAGCAGCTGACGCAAGCAGATATCCTACACGCCAGCCCCACCTCCACTGCACAGGCTGCCAGGATGCACAGCGATAGGAGAAAAATAAAAACAGCACAGAAAGCACAGCAATAAGAGAAAAAAAGAATAAGAAAAGAGCACAGAAAGCAGGAGGCAGCTGCCTCTTCCTGCACCAGGCAGAGGCACGGCCCCCTCCCAGCCGGCTGCAGGCAGAGGCAACGCAGGGCACGGCTCTCAGGAAGGCAGAGCAGATTGTACCAACTCAAACCAGTTCTCATCCAAACCAAACCCAACTCTTCTAGCTCTAATTTTCCTGTGACCACTTTTTTCTTGTTTGTTTGTATTTAGGGGTATCACTTACTTATAAACACATTAGTCACCAAGATCACTCTTTCCTACTCAAGACGGGTATAAAAAAGCTCCCTTGTCCCACCCCAAAGATGAAGAACCACACTCACCACAGCCCAGTCAAAAGACTGTTGAAGCCTATGGAAAGATGCCTTTGGCAGCCCCTTTCCCACAGCTGTGGGAACTTCAGCAGCAAACTAGCACCAGCTGTGCAAGTGGGGGGAGCCATTTAGCCCGGCATACTGGGACCTAAGGCAGCCACTCAAAGAGCTGAATGTCCCCAAGTGCAAATACCACCTTCAAAGCACCACTGTGACCACAATGTCTCCATCTAGAGAACACAGCAGTCCTGTGAAAGCTTCAAACTTTGCGTTAAGAAAATGAGCATCGCTTATAAGCATCCCAGAAAAGGGCAGAGGAGGCAGAGCAAGGAGTAGCCTGTGCTGGCAGTCCGGGTAGCACAGCCAGCCCTGAGCTATTCCTAGCTCACCTCTCACACATTAAAGCTGAAGGCACTCAGGAAACAACAACAGGTCTCATAACCAAAGGTCCCAGCTCTGCAGGACGTGTCTAAGGGGCTCCCAGGGCACACCACTCCTCAACCCCCCTGTGGCTGACGCTGGAAGAGCAGCGTGGAAGGAAAGCCAAGGGCACCCAAAAGAGAGCCACCATCCGGGTCGTGCCCTCCCCGTGCCTGCCACGTAGCCTGTTCCTACAGCAGTGACTTTTCTGCATGCTAACACCTGCTACTGGGAACAGGTGAGTCGCTTCTCCGTGCTCTGATCACCTGGAGGATCTCTTTTTTTTCCCCTTACAAATCTTTTCTAGGGTATTTTTAAATTTACGTTTAACTACCATTATCTGGATTCAGATACTAGATGTATTTAGGGCTCATTCAATACGTGCTCTGAATCTTTTTGCCTCAGATATACTCTCCCAGAGCTGACAAGTCTGTTCCTGATGTCAGATTAAGAGAAATATTTATGCCGTCAATCATCACTGCATCTCTAGCACTGCCAGCACAGGAGAAGTACGGCAACTTTGAGTCCTGGCTTGTTTTAAGTCCTCCCTTGGCCAAGGAACTTCTAAGAGTCGGGAGAAAAATCCTCTTTGTGCCTGTCATAGCCCTGGGTTTGACAACCATTCAAATCGGAGCTCCTGATTCCTTTCCCAAAATCTCATTTGCTGCGTTGATTAGGATCAAAGGTTGAGGGGAGGAATGCAGTTTAGGAAGAAAGAGAGTGCCTCCCTCCCCTTGCGATAGCCTTCAGCCAGTGAGGAGCCAGAAATCAAGCCAAGCAAGGCGCGCTCTCCCTGCCATCCTGCCGGCGCTGATGGAGCAGATTGCTTACAGAGCTGCTCCAGCACGGGGCCAGGTTTTGGTTTTGTTTTTTTTTTTTGTTTTCCTAAATCATGTGTTAGAAAACTTTTAAGTGCAGTTCGCTAAAACAGCTCTTTTTAATTTGCTCTGCTTGTAATGCTTTATTTTAACTAGGCCTACTAGCCGTGTCACATCTCTTATTTAGCAGCTGAGGCAGACGCTTCGTGCTGTGATGTCTTGCTAAGCCAAAGGGAGCGAGGTCCCTCAAATCCGAAACGCAGTGGGATCTTCCTATCAGGGCCAACTTCCACCCTGAGTACCCGGCACAGCCCCGCTGAGAGCAGGGGGCTGTTCAGATGGAAGTGACGGTACAGTTTGGCCCCCAGACCCTTTTTTAACGTACACTGAGAAGGCAATAAGATGAACAAAATGTCTGCTAAATGCAGCCATTTTGCAACTTTTGCCAGAAGCGATGCTCCCGAGCGCCTGCGGGGCCGTGACTGCCCAGCACAGACACACAGCACACACCTCCTGCCAGTCCTTCTGCGGGGCAGGAGAGGTGGACAAGTCACTCCTTCTGTGGGGTTTTCAGAAGATCACACTGAAGTACCCAGCACGCAGGTCCGATGGCTCCGAATTTGTTAGAAAACAAACCGTGGATGCTAAAGCAACAGGCTTTTGTGTGGCTTTCCGCATAGTTGCCAAATATTTGAGTGTTTTTGCCTGATCCCATCAAACTGAAAGGGAGCAGGTCCAATCAGCTGTGCTACACCAGGGACGAACCCACAGGGCTTTTTCCCAACTGCAACATCTATTGTGCGATTTTTTTAATAGATAACTAGATCGCCCCGATTCCTAACTGCTCGCTTGCTGCTAGTACTCTCCTGCTCTGCAGATGTTGGCAGAGCACAGCTGAGCCCTGTACCATGTGCGTAATTGCCACCGTAAGCACCAAGAGGCTGGAGCGTGCCGTGCCTTGCTCTGCACCGCACGTGTTACGGAAATGCTTGTAGACCTCCCGCCCTCCGAAACAGAGCGCCAAAAAGGTTCGGTGCCTACTCCCTGAAAACATCACTGCTCCTTGTGTAAATAGTCCTGGGTTGGTAACTGCTCCAGGTTCGGTGAAGCTATTTAAAGCACTTGTGCGAGACGATCCTGCAGGATGGCAGTTACCCGAAGTGGTCCCTGCTGCTCCGGGGATGCTCATGGACCCTCTTGGTGTCACTCACACCCCAGCTGCAGAGCCATGATTTATACCTTTGATAAATGGAATTCCTGCAGTTTGAGGGATTTGGGCAAAACAGACACTTAACAGGATTACATTGTGAGAATAGTTAAATTCTGCACTTCACTTTCTATTTCCCCATTCCTTTAGTTAAACATACACCCCCCCCCCCCCAGCTCCATTTGTTGTGTGTGTTTGATTTTTTTTTCCCCAAACTTCTCTTTTCCAAAACCAAAGCATTTTGCTGCCCAAGGGCGCAGAGAAGCCTGACTTCCACCAGGCTCTGCCTGGGAGCTCTCTCGCCGCTCAGCCTGAGTGGAGGGGCTGGGTGAGCATCAGGGTCCCTCCCGCCCCTCTGCTCGTGCTCCAGCCCTGCAGCACTTCAGATGAAGGAATTGCTCCTTCGGGGAATGGGACATGCTCCGGCACTGCTCCCTGCCTCCTGCAAAACCTGCCCTGGCCATGTGCTCCTTGCTAAGACATGAAGCAACACAGAGGGGCTCTAAGTCCAGGCCAGTTACACCGAGCATGCTGGTGCTACTGCCCCACGGAGCTCCATGGACTACACGTCGGAAAAGCAGAGTAATTCGGCCAGGAGACTGTCAAGGCTATTGCTTTTCTGTGTACGGAGCAGATCCTGACTGTATTGGCATGAACAGTGCTGCTCATTTAAACCAGGTGGATGAGGTTTGACGGGGGCTGAACACACTGACTGCTTGCAGAAATGCCAGCTGCAGACAGTTCGTCCCTCACACAGCTCAAACCACAGTGATCTCCGTGATGGTACATCTGATAAAGAAATTGCTACGTAGTCATTTTGGGATCAGGCATCCAACACGAGGCGTGCCATAAAGACAAAACCCCTTAAGACGGGTCCATATAAGGACTTGTGCGTGACAGAAACTTGGGACATGCTTGGCAGAAAGGTTACATCCAGGCAGAATCCCATAAAAACAAAACACCAAGAGGTGCAACACACATCACTGTCCTCACTGCAGCTCTCCGCTGCGATGAACATGTTGAGTCTGTGCACTTCAAGGAAATTTGTGCCTAACCCAATTTCAAAGAATTTTAACCATTATTCTAGGGCAAGCTGTCTTCTAAAGTAGCTAGGCACCTGCGAAGTATGCGCTAGTATTTTATTCAGACAAAACAAAAAATGGTGTATTTAAGAAAGGGAATGAGAAACCGGTGATTTAAAAAAATAAATAAAAAATTCAAAAAATCCTTGTCAGCTTTTTACTCTGCTGCTTTCACTACAGCATGAGGCTCATCCACGTAAAACAACTGTGAGACCAGGAGAGGCTCTGCAGCTATACCAGGCTTCTTACCACCGCTGGCGAAGCTGAACGCCTCTGTTCAGAGGTGCCCGTGGAAGCAGCGGGACCTGGACCTGATGCTCACAGCCCCCCAGTGCAGCTGGAATTCCACGGCACAATTACAAGGCAACGTAACACATCCCCGCCGCGCAGCCTCTTGTGCTGAGGATGCGGAGGAGCAGAGTTTGCTGTCGCTGAAGTAAGCAGAGCTCTCCGTACGGCAACAAGGAAGCGATTATTCTCGAGCACTCTCGTTGCCTGTCAGCACAGCCTGGCCGATCTGACTTTTCCCCCCCCTTTTTGGGGGGAGGGACAGCACAACTCTCCTGCCTGATGCGAGTGGGGACTGTAAAATCAAAACTGGGGAAAATGCACAAAGAAATGCTGCCAGCTCGTTTGTATCCCCCCTGCACCGAGAGCCCAGCCCTGAGAACTGGCAGGCTTCTCCAGCTCCCTTTCTTTCAGTGGCAGCTCCGGACCATTTATCTTTCTGATTTGGTGTAGAAAAAGAAACTTTCTGTATACTACACACACACACACAAAAAAAAAAAAAAAAAAAAAAAAAAAAAAAAAAAAAAAAGAGACTAAATCAGTTTCATTAAAATTCCGTGAAATATACAATTTTTCTCCTGTTGTTTTAGTAAAATTTCTGCACCCTTTGTACTAAAACCAGTGATTCACACAACTACAAACCCAATAACACCAAACAAAAACCCTCCACAAAACTGCAGGAGCGTACAGTGCATACAGGCACCAGCCTGGGCAAAATAAGGAGTCCGCTCAAATTTCACATCTCATTAAAGACAATTTGGCCATTAATCCATACGGTTTTAGGAGCAAAGAAGGATTTTCCAGGACAGATAAACTGAAATGATCCTCCTTTGATCTCCGAGGTTAAGAATCAGTTACAATGGAAGATGAACAACACGGGGCAGGACTACTGGCCTTTTTATCTGCAACAATGGCATCAGCAAACAACTACTTAATCAATATTTGGCCAGGGCCACTGAAAACTTCCTTTTCAAATTTTAATTCCTAGTTGTAAAACAACTGTAGGGCAACCAGCAAGATAAGACATTAAACTGACTGCTTAATTGCCTTTTACTGTCCTGCTAGTTATATATGCACATCCTTAATCGCCCTTGAATCTTTATTTACCGGGATGAATAAATGACCTGTCGACAATCACATCAAACTCCACTAACCACGTAATCTCAGCGCGCGACACACTAACTCTAATGTGCCCACAGTGAGTTTTAATTTCATTACGTTTCACTTTTTTTCTAGGGAGAGTGATTTAAAGTGAATTAGTTTAACAGCATGGGGCAGGAGTACTCCAGGGCAAGTGAAGTAAAACGAGGCGCCCGCACTACGCCGAGCAAGACTTGTGGTGAGCTGTGTTACTGTACATCATTTTTATTAGCCAGCAAGCTCAGCGTTTGGGGAACACTTGGAAGTATCCCACATTTTTATTTATATATTTTGTTCTCTCTGCAGCCACATATGTTTGTTACATAGGATTTAAAGTGACATTTACATGGAGAAATCCGCATCGACTGGGTTGCTCTGATTTATTGCTTTGCGTTTCACTCAATTTCTTCTTAAATTAACCAGAGAGCACTTTGTAGTTCTGCTTCATTTCCCAATGCCGTTTTATTACACAGCCCTGGGGACTCGTGATAATTCATCACTATCAACTTTATTGGCTCCCCTCATCTAAACCCCGTTCCAGCCCTTATCAATAAGTAAACCCAATACAAAACTAAACCTTCCCCGAGTGTTAGATAAAAGTGGCGTCTTGGACAGATACAACAGAAAATTACCAGTTGAAATTGGACCCCGAAAATAATCTCTTCTGGGGATTTCATCAGTGTCAACTTTTACTTTCAGCATTAATTTCTAATTAATTTTTTATCTAATTAAAATCGCTGCCTGGCTGCCTGCTGATACCATCGCTACCTTTGTGCGAGCACGGCTACAGAAATCCTCAGCTCGACGAGAGTTTTGCCGGTTTCAGTCGGGACTGCAGCCACGCTCGCAGTCAGCCAGCAGTTTCTCGTAAGAGAAGAGGACGAATTTAGGCCCCGCTGCTGCCTGCCCCAGCCACGTGAGCAGCTTTACACACATGAATGGGCCCTTTCAATGGCACTCCTCGCTGTCCCTCGCATCTGATGCTTTCCAACCAACTTTTTTTCTTTTTTTTTTTTTTTTTTAAGAGTTGGTTGGAAACAGAAGTGCTGGGGCCACCTCCTGTCATCAGAGTGGTTCCAAAGAGCATTTGTCAGTATGGTGATAGGTACTTATATATAAATTAATTAATTAATTAATATACATATATATATAGGGGTCTGATATGCAAGCCTATAAACCCAACTCACATCCCAATCCTGAGTACTTCCCTGGGAGCTGCAGTTGCTCAGCACATTAGAAATCTGCTTACAAGACAAGGCTGAGCTTTACCATGCTAAATTCCTACTGTTGTCAAGGATTTGGCAATCGCAGCAGAATCCAGAAAGCCAAGGATACAAATCATGGTTTGGGAGCAAGTCCATTCATTTCCTGCCCCAGTCTTTCCAGAACGACACCGTCTAGGTTTAATCAATTATCAGTTAAGATTTTCAGAACAACCCAATCGGATGCAGACTTGGGTACAAACTCCAACCAGTGTGTGTGAAACTATCCTGGTATTTGCCAAAATAATATTTGTCTTTGTTCAGGGTACAAAAGTTTAGAAAAAAGGGACAGGATGTCCCCGGTGGTACTGCTTGAACAGCTAAGGAAAGTGCTCCCGAGATGGCAAACTGTGCAAAACCAGCGGAGAAATCGGGATGTCAGGAGGGGCTGCGGGATGCGGGCAGCCTGCACCTTCCCACAGCCCCTGCTCACCCCGCTGGTAGCACCTGGTCCGAAACACCACAGCCCCTGGCCAGGCAGGAGCAGCAAACCCAGAGTCCACAGTCCAGCGACGAGCCCTGTGGTGATTTACTTTGTGCAGCACCCGGCTTTTCTGCCCGCCTCGAGCCAAACCCTGGAGTCACTGGGGAGTTTTTTGTAATTACGCACGATTTCCCCACCAGCTCTGAGACCCCGAGAGGCAGAATTCTGCTCAAATCGGACGAGCAGGTTTCCTCAACCTGCTGGTGACCAAACATTTAACGTAAAACACTGAATGCCAGGCTCAGGAAGGTGCCTGCCTGCAGTCGCCATCCCCATGAGGCGACCCTTCAGCAGGGGATGTAGCGGGGGCAACACGCGGTGCTCCTCAGACCTAAAACCCACCGGTACTTGACACGGTGAGGACACCCTGGGAGGGGATGCTGGAGCAACACCGCAGTGAGCCCAGCATCAAAACCCCAACCAAAGCAGCAGGCAGCCCCCGCCCTGCCCCACGCCTCGCCGTACAGAGGGGAGCGGGATGGCTCCAACCGATATCTGGCGCCTGCGTGTCAACCCCCTCCCTTCACAAGCTGCCTTTATTAGTTTAGCAACCTAAAAATAACCGGCTGCATGGTACTGACCAAACCTAAACAAAACATCTGCAGGCCCGGCTAGCCCCCGCTACCCTCCGGACCATGTGCCACCACTTCAAAGGCCGCGCATCAAGTCAGTAATTGTAACATTGCATCTAAATATTTAAGCTAGGGGCTGGTAGTCGCGTGCCCCATTTACAGCCAGCATCTGTCCTCTAATTCCATTACAGTACAAAGCAAAAATGTTTCCCAAAACTCGCAAACAGGAAAAGCATCGCTCTGCTCGAGAGGCAGCGGCAGCTTGAACTTTGGAGCTGCTGAGCGGGGCTTTTGTGCTGAGGTCCTTCTCTTCTCCCCCCCTCCGAGCTCCCCGCATACACGCACAGAAATAGGGGTGGTGCCGAAATTGTATTAATGTGAGCCTCGGGCACACAGAAAAAAAAAAAAAAAGAGAGAGAGAGAGAGAAAAGAGGAAGGGGAGGGCGAGGGGGGAAGGGTTTGGTCCGAGATGAAAGTCAGAAGGAAATAAAGGAGGCAATTTAGTCGGCTGTAGCCTGAATTGCTCTCAGTGCAGCCCAGGGTAGAGGCTGGGGATGAGTAGGGCCCTTTCTGGATGGGCGCGCATGACTGGGGGAGGATCAGCCGGGACAGGGCCCGGGGGCCAATTCCGCCGGGCCGGGAACAGAGCCCCCTTTGAGGCCGGGGGACCCCAGTGCCAGCCCCGTCCCGTCCAGCGCCGCCCGCTCGCAGCGGCCCCGAGCAGCTCCCGGCCCCGTCCTGCCAGCGCTGGAGGCCGCCGGTTTGTGCCAGAACATGGCAGCAGGAGGCACGGGCAGCTCCCCGTCTGAAAATACAGCCTGATAGCGCAGGAGCTTCTCTTTTGTGATCGTTATTCACGGCTTAAGTGGTTCAGAAAAATATATCAGGCACGCAGAAACGCAGATGTGCTGTTATAGGGAGATAACCTCACCGATCCGCACTACGACAGCCAGGCTTGGCTTTAAACACACACCCGAAACCAGGGGAGAGGACGAGACGGGCAGAAATGCAGAAACGCAGCAGTGCAGCGTCTGCCAAGGCGTGTGAGAACAAAAAGTTTAGGTGCGTGTAAATAGGGGCTGAAACAGCAGGGCAGATGGAAGTTCACCTACGCTCACGTCTGTGAAGATCAGGGGGAGAAAGCCCAAGCCAGGTGACGGACTGCTTCTGTCGCACATTTACAATGTATATATATCACATTGCTCTCCTCCCTGACCCCGCTCTGCTGCAGGAGCTCCCCAGCTCCCACACGGTTACAGCTCGCCCAACGAGCAGGGGACACCAGCCACCCCCAGCCACCCCGCGGCTGTCCCCTTCTCTCCGGTGACCAGGGCCCCCCAGCCCTGCCACCAACAGCCACAGAAAAGTCTCGGACACTCCAAAACCCCGCGCTTTGCTTTTCTCGCTCAGACGGGTGCAGTGCTCCTGCCACAGGCGCTCAGCACTGAGCTGCCCTGCAGGGTTGTACCACGCGCTTCAGCAGTGACCCCAGGGACCCAGGGGTGCCAGCCTGCCTCTCGCGTGCCTGCTGGGGCTCCAGGCCCTGCACACAGGCAGCCAGGACCCTGCAGCACCCACATCCACGGCAGCACCACCAGAGATTTCAATAAGAGGGTCGGGCCGTCTGTGCAAACGGCAGGGCCCAACCTGAGGATTTCATAGACAAGAGTGAAATCCTAGCTCCTCCGCTGGTCACAAGAGTTGAAGCAGAACTTTTTTGTTTTGTTTTGTTCTGTTTTCTGCCAAATACAGCCAGAGAGGTGGACTCATTTTATGTTTTTTTCTTGCAAAGAGCTTTCCAGCATGGTGTCCCCACAGCACCACGCTATGCGTACGGTAACAAATCCGTCCTGCAGCAGCTCTCTCACTGCAGCACCCCAACCACCCCAGTAACAAGCTTAAGGAACAGGCTGACACCCAGGCAGGGGAGCAGGAGTCAGCAGGAGCCTCCCTCCCATCACCAAAACCTCCCCAAAACTCAGGGAACAGACCGGATTTGAAGCCACTGTTTACACAGAACTGCCTGGCCCCCTTCACCCAACAGAAACCTGGATGCACAGAATGGGACAGG